AGTTAGTATGCAGTAAATGCTTTTGTGATACACTGATGTTTGAAAGTGAACAAAACTCTATGAGAGATTGCAGCCCATTTTGCAAAACTTGAAGAACTTTTGCCAAGTGATGGAACATACGTCAATAGAAAATAGTATTATAAAAACAATCATATTACTAAAAATTAAAGTACTCTCATCATGTTCAAGAATTCTTTACTCAGTTTTCAACCATTTTAAAAAGTTAAGTAAAGTTTATTGCGTCTCACTATTGAGAAAAAATTTGAAAAAATTATATGTTGTAGAAAAAGTATAAAGGAAACAATTTGTGTTCCGAAAACTAAATTGTGCGTTCAGCCCGTTGTACCTTAAATGTCCATATACTACTGCGTAAACTCCCACTGTTACTCTACTAATGATTATAGTATAGCTTACCTTGGCTCTGCATAGGGGAGTAGAAGTATTCCCCTAGCAGAGTGAGAAGAGTAGAATCCTGTGTTCCCTGTGTTAAGAGTGCTGCTCCACCGCCCACGCACAATTTTTAATCTGTTGCTACGGAAGCTGTTTGTCCCAAAGTGCTTTACCAATCATAATGAAACCAGTAATAGTTACAAGACAGTAACTATATTAGTCTGTAAGCTAACTTGGAACCTTTAACTCATAATAGCTATGGCATCAAGAGCTAAGATACTAGAGACTTTTCAAAAGCGAAAAACTCTCACTTTCAATTTGAATAACCAGATTTCTAGGTAAAGGCAGTTTTTAACTAAACAAATCGATTAACATAGAGATATTTTTCTTTTTCTTCTTGCAATGCCATATTTAATTTTCGTATTGATCGACACTACATTTTACTATACTAGCCCTGTTTAATTAAAATATCTCTATGTTACTGTATGTGTAATTATATGAATATGCTCTATTGCAAATTTGGTCTGATTCTAATCACAACAGGCAAAGTTTTTCGAAATCTGGTATTTTTCTGGCATAAAACACCAATTTTAAAATCTAACTTATTTTACATCTTTTTGGGAGGCCTCAGTACTTTTACTCCCTTTCTAAAAGGTGCTTCATAAAATTGAAACCCATTTATGTGAACCTTATAAGGTGCTTCTAAGGGACACTTGTATGGCTTTAACATTCCTGCATAAAATAATTGTTGCTAGAAGCAGCACCCTTAAGAAGCTTTGCTAATTCCTCCGCAGACATCCTCAAAAGCGCTAACAGTACTGTAGAATTTGTAAATTAGCGTTGCCGTGGTACCCACGTGATCTCATTGCCGCATCATACAACACCTGCCCACGCAATTACCTTGATTCTGTTCCGTGAATGGAGGACGCCTTTCTCAAAGAATGCATTTTAACTCCAGTAGTACTTTGAGTTTTGAGGAGATCTTAGTATCAGTAGGTAGATATTGACTTATATAACACATATATCAAATTTAAAAAAATTCGTCACAAAAATTATCTTATGCCATTTTCGGCCTTGTCTCATTTTTATTAAATTAGACCGAAGGTCAATTTTTTCAGACCATGTCACAATTTGTAATCGCTGTCGCAACCTAAAAAAATGCTTTTCGCTTCTTCAGAATGCTTGCTACTTGCTGCATTAGCTCTAGAGCCATGATAAGCAGCCCAAGCTTAGTCCAGCCACAGGCTTGGCCTTACAAGGTACACAACCATCTACATTAGCTTGAAGAAGCATTTTATTGTTCAAGAACATACAACAATTAATCCATTAAGTGTTTCACATCTTCTCCAAACAAGAAAGAAAACAAAAGAGTCTTTTAAAACAAGAACACAAATGCCAAAATGTAGTAAAATGTACCAGTGCCACACTTGCCAACTAAACAAATCGATAATGAAGAAATGACACCGCCTTCTTAGTCTACAACTTTTAGAAAGCCATCCCAGTCCAAAAAAGTCCCAGTTTACACTACATAGATGTTCGAACAGACACCTTACATCTCCTTTTCTTCTCCACCATTACCTGTCACTATGGTAAATTCAATTATTTCAATAAATATTATTAATAATTAATGAATATAATAATAATTATTAATCAATGTAATTATACTGAAATGGTACATAGAGCTAAACTGTGAGCTGCTGTAGCTAATAAGATGAGAAACTTCACTTACAAATATGCAAGTTGTTACATCATTGGCATCTAAATCTTCAGCAATATAACCTGCGAATCACCACACAAAATAATTAAAATGGCGTTATAATGGAGCAGAGTAGAGTTTGGCTTATTATTACACTATTATGCTGTGCTGCAATTCTCAGAAAAAGCTCTATTATGCTTTGTTTATTATTCATTGCACTTCCAATGATGCTCATGAATTTAATTAAAAATTAATGGACACACCCATTATTACAAGTAAATATAAAAAATTCTATTAAATAAGAAAAAGTAGGGTTGTCAAAAAATATAAGAAACAAGGGGGTTGAGTTTAACCATAATAATAATTAATTGTTCCATTAATAATAATAAAGTTTAATTAGTAAAAAAATAATTTCTTCATAAAAATAATACAAAAATTTCAAACCCTACTTTGCAGAAAATGAAGGACTATTGTTTCCTTTAGAATGAAAAATTTTAATGAAAGAATGATGACCAAACTGCTTAGTTCCAGCCTACACGAGCGTGGCGAGTCCAATTAAAATTCCTAACAAGTATTTACATTAATATTTTTAATTTATGATATTGTTCTGAATCACAAAATTCAAAGAATGGAATAGCGAAATAATTAT